AGGGGCACTGCCCCGGGGCTGGGATTGGGAACCTTGAATTTGAGGCTCCCCCATCCTGGCTGCATGACCTTTCTCTCTGGGCCTGTGTGTTGCTTCTGAAGAAAGAGGGGGTGTGGGGGCCTCTGTGAAGCCCCCTGACCTCCTCCCTTCACCCGCTACCCCCCCTCAGTCTTAATTGGTTTCATCCTTAATGGTGGTGGCTGGACATTCCGTGCTCTGGACTGCAAGCTGTCTGAGGATGTGGTGAAGCCTCCCTTATTCCCCGCTGTGTCCCAGGACCTGGCACATAATAGCTGCTCACCAGATGGTTGCTGAGTGGATCACACCCGTGCTCTGTGCAGCTCTGAGCACTCCGTCAGCTACTGCAGCAGAAGCAGATTGACCCTGTTCTTCCTAACATCCCAGGGGAGGGCGTGGTTGGCTTGAAACCACAGGCTGGGATTCTTTCTCCTTCTCTGGGGGAAGCCTCTCCTGCAGAACCTGGCACATGGAGCGCTCAATAGAAAAAGCAGTGCAGCTTGGTGGTCAGGTCCCAGCTCTGCCTGACCAGCTGTTGCCTTGAGCATCTCACTCCCAGAGTCTGAGCCTCAGTTATCTCAGCTCAAAAATAGGACTAGAAAGAGCTACTTCCTGATGGTGTGAGGGTTAAATAAAGTACATGAAGTGCCTACTATGGTGCCAATAAAAAGAGGTAACTTGTTTTAATGAGTAGTAAGTATTTGTTGAAAGAGCGAATTGGAATCTTCTAGAACCTTCTAGAATTTGGCTGCTCCTTGATTATTTTCTTCAGTTTGCTCTACAGAATTGCCAAGAACTGGGAACCTTCTGCCTTGAGCAGCATAGCAGGATGGGAATTGGTGCAGAATTTGGACTCTGGGAGGTGTCTTGGGCCTGTAACTAAAGGTTCTCTCTGAACCTCATCTATGTACTGGGAATAGTGGAACCTATATCATCGGGTTGTGATAAGGGTCAATTGAGATAATATGTGTATAAACTGCTTAGAATGGAACCTGGCATATTGGTAAGTATTATTATTTTTTGTCATTGTTTTACTTTCTGTTTTCTGAAGATGCATACAAATACCTCTTCATTCCAATATTGTTTTTAAAAAATTCTCCTATATTTATTTGGTATTTTTTAGTGTTTTTTCTTTCCTGTTTAGCTATTTAATCCATCTGGCATTTATTTTGTATATTTTTCCAGGTGTCTCTTATCTATTTATAAATTTTATTTATTTGTTTTTGCCACATCTGATTCGATTTAATAAAACTTTACAGAGAGAGTCGAAACCCCCTTCCCCAGTCTCAGTCCCCTCCCTCTCCAGAGGTAACAACAATCTAGAATTTGGTGTTTATAATTCCCAGACATGTTTTATAATAATGCTATATATGGATGAAACCACAACTATCCCAAGGGATCTTGCAACTTACATTTTTCTTTTTAAAAACTTATTTTGTCATAACTTCAGGCTTACAGAAAAGTTGTAAAACTAGTACAAAGAATTCCTATATCCCCTTCATCTCAATTCCCCAAACATTAACATTCCCACATTTCCTTTCCCTCTCCCTCACTCTTTTCTCCTCCCTTCTCCCTCTCCCCACAACTCTCTCGCTATAAAATTCATTTTCTCGACCATTTGAGACAGAGTTGTAGGCATGATACCCCTTTAGCCCTAAATACTTCAGGATATATTTCCTAAAAACAAAGATATTCACTTATATAACCACAGTTCAGTGATCAAAATCAGGAAATGAACACTGATGGAATACTGTTAGCACATCTACAGACCTTAATTCCTAGTTCACCATCTGTTCCAACAACGTCCTTTATAGGAAAAGAAAATCCAGGATCACAAGATGTGTTCAGTTGTCCTGTCTCTTTAGTTTCTTTACGTCTGGGTCAGCTCCTCAGTCTTTGTTTGTCTTTTATAGCCTTGACGTTTTTTTGAGTATGGGCTGGTTATTTGTAGAATGTCCCTCAATTTGAGTCTGATGTTTCCTTATTATTAGATTCAGGTTAAGCATTTTTTTGCAGGAGTACCCAGAAGTGATGCTGTGGCCTGCTCAGTGCATCATATCAGGCATTATTACGGATTGAAGAGTTTATCTTTTTCCCATTGATTTTAAATGACACATTCACAGTTTTCTAAATTCTCATATATACATGGGTTTGCCTTTGGTCTTCTTTTAAATTGATCAGTCTATCTAAATCTGTGCCATTTTGTTCAGCTGTTTTAGTTACTATACCTTCCTTCTGTTATATCATATGTTATTCTTTTAAAAAGTGTATGGAGTGTATACTAGAGACTCTTAAAATTACCCTTCTACATGAACTTTATGTCAGCTCCACAAAGTCTCTCAGAAATCCTATTGAGATTTTCACTGGAATCACATTGAATTTATAGATGAATTTTGAGAGAACTGACAACATTTATGATATTGTCTTCCCATCCAGGAATATGTCTCTTCATCATTCACGTCTTCTTTGATGTTTGTTAGGGAAATTTTGGTGTCATCTTCTTATGGGTCATGCACATTTCTTGATAGGTTATCTTCTTGGTGTTTTATAACTTGTCTTACTCATGGGAATGGGATTCTTGCTCCCATTATATTGTCTGATTATTGTTGGTATATAGGAAAGCCATCGACTTACGAATATTTATCCTGTATCTAGTTACTTTGCTGAATTCTGTTCTAAGAGTTTTTAGGTTGATTCTCTTGCGTTTTTTATGTAGACGATTCTATCTGCAAATAATGGCAGGTTTGTTTCTTCCTTTCCATTTCTTCTACTTCGTTTCTTTTTTCCAGTCTTTTTACATTGGTTAGGATCTCCAGAATAATTGTGAATAATATGGTAGTGATATTGAGTATTTTTGGTTATTCCTGACTTTAATTGGAGTAGCTTTGTCATTATGTTAAGTATTTGAGGGAGATTTTTGAGAGAGAACCCTTTGTGGAAGTTCTAAAAAATTCCTAGTGAATTATATTGATCAATTTTTTTTTAAATCTCAAACTATCTCAGAAGACCTAGGTTGCTGTTTTTTTTTTTTTTTGAGTTGTATTGCTTTTGTAATTTAGTGCCATATCTTATTTGCTGACATATATGTAGGAATTTTGGATCTGTATTTATATAAGATTTATCTATGATTTTCTCTCATTTAAATTATCCTTGCCCAGTTTTAAAAGGATAAGTATATTGGCTTTGTAGCAAGAATTAGGATGCTGCCCTCTCCACAGCAATTTAGAAAACATAGATGTAATGTGTTTATTGATTATTTGGTAGAATTTGCTAGAAAAATTATTTGAACATTCCCAATAATTTTATAATTCAAATTTCTTCCTCTGATTATTAGTCAATTTAGGTTTTCTATTTCCTCGAGTCAATTCTGGGTAACTTTTATTATTTAGAAACTGATCATTTTGTGTGCATTTTAAACTATATTAATATAAAGTCTTCCTTCCTCCTTCCCTCTGTCCCTCCTTCTAATTCTATAGTTACAGCCATCCGCTCATTTCTTAATATTTTAATTTTATTTTTCATTTTCTTGGCTAGACACGTGGGGGGGAAGTGGGGTTAGCTATTTTATTGGTAATTTCAAAGGCCTTGCCCTTGTTTTTATTATCAAGTCTTTTGTTTTCTGGTTCTTTAACTTCTGATTATTTTTCTTCATTTTCTACTTTCTTTTGGTCTATTTTGATTTTTTTCTCCACTTCTTTTTTGAGCGATTGCTTTGGAAATATCCCATGGGCTTTGCTATGTAGTACTTTTCATTGTTCATTTTTAAACAGGCTGCAGTTTGTTTTAATTTCTTTTTTAAAAAAATACTCCTCTAAATAACCTTTGGGTTACATTTCCAAGTGATTTAACTTTTTGTGGCTCTCTCTTTAAGTTTTAGTTTTATTGCTTCGTGGTCAGAGAATATGGTCTGTGTAATTTCTCATTTAAAAAAAATTATTGAGGTTTTCTTTGTGGCCTATCACATGATCAGTTTGTAATTGTTCCATGCATTTTTGAAAAGGTGTGCATTGTTTTATAAGTACATATAAAAATAGATTGAACCAACTAATTGTGTTTTTCAAGCCCTTTATTGCCTCTTTTCTTTTAGTCCTCATGATCTGTCCATTTCTGGGAAGTATGTTGCAGTCTCCTATTATAACTAATTGTTTTTTCCATTTCTCCTCGTATTTTCAACAGTTTTGTTCTATGCATTTTATGGATACGTAAAATTTTATATCAATTTAAAAAATCTTTTTATCTTTTGTAATTTTTTTTTGCCTTGGAATCTGTTACCATTTCAGCTTTTTATTGACATATGCCTGGTATCATTTTGTTCATCCTTATTTTTTTAAAACTTTCTGTTTTAAAATAATTTAAGACTCAGAAGGAGTTGCAGATACAATAGAGAGAGTTCCCATGTACCTTTGCTCAGCTTTCCTCATTGATAACATCTCACATCATCATAATCCCTTCTATTTTAGCCTTTCTGGGTCTTTTTGTTTTAGTTCCTGACCTACTTTGCATCTCTCTCTTTTTTTTATTTACGGTTTTATAAAAAATTATTTTATTGAGGTCACATTGGTTTATAACATTGTGTAATTTCAGGTGTACATTATTATGTATCAGTTTCTGTATAGACTGCATCATGTTCACCACCAATAGTTTAGTTTTTATCTGTCACCATACATGTCACCTTTACCCCTTTCACCCTTCCCTCACCCCATTCCCCTCTAGTAACCTCTCATCTGTTCTGTTTGTCCATGTGTTTTTTATTTTCCGTATATGAGTGAAATCATGTGGTGTTTGTCTTTCTCTGTCTGGCTTATTTTGCTTAACATAATACCCTCAGGGTTCATCCATGTTGTCGCAAACGGCGTGATTTTGCCTTTTGTTATGGCTGAGTAGTGTTCCATCGTGTGATACCCTGTTTTTTAACAGGGGAATTTATATACCATCCATGTTTATTGTGATCACTTGTTTAAGTTTCAACTTCTTTCTGCCACCTTATTTTGCTTTTGGTTTTCTATGATGTTTTTTCCTGCTTATTGTTGGAAAAATTTTCTTTAGTTTCTCCTTTTCCTTCTTCCCATGTTTTCCCTGCTGCTTGTCCCCCCTACCTCATTGATTTGAAAGTCATAATCCTATTTCTCATTTCTTGCTTATGCTTAAATTTTTAACAAACGTATTTAAACTTGGGAAAGAATAAATTAGTATCTCTAAGTACCCTCCAAGAATCCCCCCCCGCACACACACAAATATTTGACCTTTAAATGCACTTATACTTTCCTTATCCTCTCTCCATAATCCGTTCTTGGTTAATATGATATGGAATTTTAGTTCCAGCTTTAAAAAAATTCTGCATTATGTTTTTGGGAATTATGTGAGAGCTGCCTTGAGCTTCACAGCTGTATTTCCAGTCACTGTTTAGACTTAACTTTGTTTTGTTGGGTTTCTTTCTCTTCCTTTTAAAATAGTCTGATGTCTTCTTTCTTGGATTCAGTGTCTTGAACGTTTTTCAGGAAAGGGCTGGAGGGACACCAGATCTTTGTGTCTCTGAAGAGGTCATTATTTTCCTCACAGTTGAGTGACGGGTTGGTGTGCTATTGAGTTCTAGGTTCAAGTCCTTTTTCTCAGAACCTTGTAGCCACTGCACTCTTGTCTTCTGGCCCTTGATCTCGCAGGTGAGAAGTCTGATGGTAGAATGAGTCTTGTTTCTCTATAGGTTTTTTCCCCTCTCTCGAACCGTCTAGGATTCCTCTTTGTTCTTGGAGCTGGGCAATTATATCACTGCGTGTCTAGGTGTCTTGTTTCATTTCTCCTCCTCAGCACTTGGATCTTTGGCTCTTGTGCTCTGGAGAGATGAGTGAATATTGGATCAATATTGGGTCTCCAGGGTAGAGAGACAGGGAGGCCCCAGCAGCCAGGTTGCTTGTGATGCAAGTGCGTCTGGACAGCTGGTCGACCCTCTCCAAGCCTCACATTTCTCATCTGGAAAAGGCTCCTACCACGTAGGGTTGTTGGGAAATGAAACAGGACCCAGCTAGCAAAGGTTTAGGACAGTGTCTGGCACAGAGTAAGTAGTTGATAATGGGAGCTGTTCTTTCCATAATTCCTTGGAGGTATCAGAGATGGAGGAAGGCATGGGCTTTTAAGCTAGACTTTGAAGATGGACAAGATAGGACCTTCTCTGAGCCTCTGTCTCTCTACTCAAAATGATGGAGCTTGATAAGTTTGTTGGTATAGTTCTCCTTTTTTTTTAATTTACTAAAGAAGAACGGTGTGATGGGAGATAATTTCTCACTCCTGAATCTTAAGTGTGGTCTCTTCTCCCCCATTCTCCCTCTCTCTTCTTTCTCTCTCTTTCTCTATTTCTTCTCTCCTCTCTCTTCTCTTCTTTCTCTCTCTGTCTTCTTCTTCTCTCTGTCTCTTTTCTTTCTTCTCTTCTTTTTTCCATTGTATTTGGTCTTTCTGGTTAATGTGACTGTTGAAGGCAGGATCCAGGGCTTCAAAGAGCCTTTAAATTGCCAAAGAGAAAGGACTGCAGACTTGCCTCTGGGACCTGTTTTGATGGAATAAATGAAAAGTTAGATGTCCTCGTGCATGATCTGTATCTGGCACAGCCTCTGATGTCTCCTCTCTGTCTGTTGCCACTCTACTGGGTATAAATGCACCTCTGTATCCCCAGGTCTTGCGTACAGTAGGTGCTCAGGAAATGCTTATGGAGCAGACAGACGATGAATCAGTGCTCCATTTTTCCTGCATGGAGAAATGATTGCTTCTCACTTCCCGGGGCCGGTCTTTTTTCATTTGCTGTTTTATAAAAGATTTTATTTGTGGTTGAATGACAGTCAGTTCTTTCAGGAAAACGAGAAGAACTGGTTTAGGACCATTGTGAAACTCCATTTTAATAGCAACAAGACAGGGCTCTGGCAACTTCAAAAAGGGCAATCAAGAAATTCTTGTTTGCTCAACAGAAAGAGCTATTTAGGGGGGTTACATGGGTTCAAAGTCACTCCAAACTCCATATAATTTTCAACTTCTAATGATTTTTTTAGCCACCAAGATAATTAGTGAAAGTGTAATTTATTTAGAGGGAGTGTTCTAGGTTGGTTTCTCCAAGTTGACGACTGTCCCAGGTGCATCTGGAAACATCACCAGAAGAAATTCAGCTGGGGAGAAGACAGGGTAGGGTATGATGTCCAGTGTTTTCTCTTTTCTTGGCGTGGTTCACAAAGCAAACATTTGTGTGCATCTTTTCTGCCTGGCACTGATGAGACGAGAAGAAAAGCAGGATGTGAACCTTGCCCTCAAATGGCTCGGCGTCCAGTGGAGGAAGCAAGATGGGAATGAATTATTGCAGTAGAGCGTGGTAAGTGCAGACTCTGCACCCAGCCCAGGAGAGCTGGAGGGTCAGGAAAACTGAAGGCTGGGAGAACGGTGGTGGGTGAGGAGGAGCTAGCCGTGGATGAGACAGGCAAGGGTGTTCTGGGCAATGGTTAGCGCATGTACAGAGGTTCTAGAGCGTGTGTGAAGTGCGCAGAAGCTTGAGTGCAGCCCGAGTGCAGCCCGAGTGTACGGTGCGTCTGGGCAGGGCGCAGACCCGCATGCAGAGAGGGCTGGGGAGCCCCTGTTCCATCCCAGAGAAGCCGTTGCCGCTCAGCTACAGCCAAGGGTGGCCACGTCAGAACAAAGGCCCAGTGTAGCCAGATCTTCCAGTTTATTTTTAAGGGAAGCTCTAAATCTGGAGTTTTATGTAAAATTTCCTAAATTTCAAATTCCGGCAACTAATTGAGAAAAAAGTTAAATAATGTGAAACTCCAAAAACCCCATTCCAGGCCACTAGTTCGTGAAACCTGTTTAGGGGATGGAGAGAAGTGAGGATGAAGAGGGCCTCGGGCCCCACTCACCTGGCCTGGACTGTGCCAGTCCACAGCCAACGTCAGGCGGGAGGGCTTCGCCTTGAATTCTGACACGGAGTCCAGGTGACTCTGGAGAATCTTCTCTTCCCCTGTCCTTACTTGACTGTTGCTCAGGGAGTGGGAGTTCAAAGAGTTTTAGGTTTTTTTCCTTTAACTCCTTTTTTTTCCTTTCTAAATCTGGATGGGGAATGTGATGGTGATAGTTGAGGCTGGTTTGCCTCTTAGAACGTCTGGCCTCCTCTTGGCCCCCTGCTCCCACCCTGCACCGTTCTGATCCCATGTGGAATTTATATCCTTTCCACCCTCCTCTTTTGCTTTGATGGAGAACAGAGTGAGGTCCAGATAAATACACTCTTGGGCCTAAACTAGCCACAATAGCCATGAATGCTCATCTTCCCTCTGAAGTAGATGAATAAATATTTTATTTAAAATTCTTTGTTCTTAAATACATAACACAAAGATGTCCAACAGAAATAGAATGAAAGCCACATGTGGAACTTTAAATTTTCTAGTAGCGACAATAGAAAAGGAAAAAGAAACTGGTGAAATTAATGTTAATAATATATTTTCTTTAACCCAGTATCTCCAAAATGTTATCATTTCAACATGTAACCAATATAAAAATTCTCTCTTTTTTTTTTTTGCTGAGGAAGATTGTCCCTGAGCTAACATCTGTGCCCGTCTTCCTCTATTTTGTATATGGGACGCCGCTACAGCATGGCTTGATGAGCGGTGCGTAGATCCACGCCCGGCATCCAAACCAGCGAACCCTGGGCCACCAAAGCAGAGCTCGCGAACTTAACCACTATGCCACCAGCCTGGCCCCCAATATAAAAGCTTTTGTTAAGCTTTTGTTAAGCTTTTATCCATTTTTTATTTTGTATGAAGTCTTCCACATTGGTGTGTATTTCGCACGTCCAGCACGTCTCACTTTGGATTGGCCACGTTTCGAATGCTCAGAGTCACATGTTGCAGGTGGCAGCCATATTGGACACTGTGGATATGCAGGTGCATGTCCAGAGGAGAAGGTGGTATTCCACAGATACAGAAGAGCGTACAGGCCAGCTGTGAACCAGCTGTTTAAAAGGACACACTTGATCATGCTTCTCCCCTGCTTGAGCCTTGGTCAGCTCTCCATTCTCCTCAGGGTGGAATTCCGCCAGCTGTGTCCTCTCTCCAGCCCCATCTCGCACCCTCCCTCTCTCTGCCCCACCAGACTGGCCTTCTCTTCCTTCCTCAAAAATGCCAAGGGCCTTCCAGCCCCCACACATGCTGTTCCCATTGCCTGGATTGTGCTCCCCCCTTCCCCTCCCTTTGCCTGGCTGCCACCAGACCATTTTTCAGGTTAAATATCAATTTTTCAGGGAGGTCTTTCTTAATCCCCCCAGCTCCCAACTCCAACCTAGATTGTTTTCCCCGTTTGATGCTGTCCTGGGGAGAGAGAGGGTCTCTTTCTTCTCAGCACCTAGCACAATTATAATTCTACCCCATTAGATTGTGTACCCCAAGAATGCAAGGACCCTGAGTGTTTTGTTTGCTTGTTTTATGCGCAGCATAAGCTCATCTAGTGGCTACAGAAAATAGATGATCAATAAATATGAGATGAATGATGCCGGCCTGAGACTGTAGACTAACCGGGGCCCACAAGGCCCTCCAAGGACCCAGGCCCCTAACAGTGAGGCCAGGGGTCAGCCCTGTGGCCGGGGCTCGATCTCCTGCTCTCTCTCTCTCTGTCCCTCTCTTGGCTGGCTTTTGGTTGCCTGTAAATTATATTTTTGGTGGCTGTTAATAAAAATATAGGGCTGGGGAGAAAAAAAAAGACTTCTCCTAATAGAATTTTATTAAATGGCACTAGTTTAAAAATGTCTCGTAAAAAGTTAATTAATTTGGGATTTGGGGATGAAAGGCGTGATATAAATGTCAGTTATTATTATTACAATTTCAGCCTCACGCTTATGCTCTTGATCTAGCCCCTGATCTGGAGTTTCTCCTGCACCCGGGGACTGGCAGCTCCACTGACGTGCCAGAGGCAAATTTGAGCTTTGGGGGTCCACTGGGGACAGAGGGGACTTTGCCAAGTCAGGCCGTCCTGCCT